AAGGACCCCCCCCCCCCCCAAATGCAAATTCTGTCATTTTACTTACCCGTATGAGAATTTGAATGTCTCCCTGGTTGCTTTTTTCATTTATTTACACTGAATGGTCACAGATGCTTTTAAAAAGGTCGCAAAAGCATCATAAATGTTTCATAAGACTTATGAGAGTCTTATAAAATTCATAAGAGTCATATGCTATATTCCATGTCCCAAAGGCCTCTCTAAACCTTGTCCACACTTTTGATGACTCCCATTTGTAGTCCACGCATTTAAAAAAAGTCAAACTTGGGAAATCGCCAACTCGCATTGAAAATGAATGACTTCTGGAAGCTTTGGTGCTGCAAATCTTTAACATGTCTTCCGATTGGACAAAAGGAATGAGTGGCTAAGATTCAGCCAAAAATGTAAATTGTGTCATTTACTTATCCGTATGAGATTTTCAGGGTTGTTCTGGTTTGTCTTTTTGTGTATTTACTATGAATTGTGACTGATGCTTTCAAACTTCAAAAAGGTGGCAAAAGCATCTTAAAAGTGTCATAACAGCATTTTGTACAACATACGCTATATGCCATGTCCCAAAGGCCTTCTTAAACCCTGCCTGCAGTTTTGATGACTCCCATTTATAGGCACTGCATTGCACAAAAGTCGAGCTCTGCAAATCCCCAATTCTCTTTGAAAACTAAAGACTTCTGGAAGCTTTGGTGCTTCAAATTTCTTAACATTTATTGTCTTCTGATTGGACAAGAGGAATGAGTGGATAAGATTCACCCAAAAATGCAAATTGTCATTTACTTATATGTATGAGATTTTGAATGTCGTCCTGCTTGCTCTTTTTCGTGTATTCACACACATGACGCATTAGCAACATTTTTAAAATCACCACTCACCATTCAAAGTATCATAACAGCATTTCTGTATGACAGCATACTGTATGACTCGTACACTATATTCCATGCCCCAACGGCCTTCCTAAAACCTGTCCATACTTCGCAAAAAGTCAAGCTCTAGAAATCGCCAGCTCTCATTGAAAACTAATGACCCCAGGATGCTTTGGTGCTGCAAATCTGAGCATGAAATTGTGTGAGTGAATGCGCCTTTATTCTTTCAGCTGCTGCACTGCATTACTAGTGTTAAACGTTCTCCATACTTACTGATCGCTGTCTAGGTGTTCAATGAAAAGATTGCAAGTTCAACGTTCGCTCAGCCTGTAGAGGTGTGAATTGATGTTGTCCTTATCGTTCTTCTCTTCGAGAGCTGAATTCAGAAAATGTGCTCCCAATAGTGTTAAGCACGTCTCTGAAGGTCACAGTCTTTTTCTCAGAGAAAACAGTCTGTTGGTAAATACCACAGTGCTCACTGCAGTTGCTTTGCTCCATAGGAACCCGTGACTCAAACTCTGTGTGATGTGGGTTTTGACCCGAGAGCTGCAGTGGTTATTTTATCTCCAGTAAGAAATGCATATTGAACACACGTATGCATAATGTGGCATCCTGCTGACGACATTGGAATCAACAGAATAGTTGGTCATTGACATCATCGCTTTGCAGATTCTTTCGCCCAGAGACGAAAGTGGGAATTTTTAGTGGGAAAAGAACCTGCGGCCACAATGGCTTAATAAATCATGGCAAAGCTCGTAAAATAATACTCACTGGTGAAACTGGCTGCCTGCTGGCTAGGCTTGTCTTTGTCAATTTTTACTGTCTTTATTGAATGTCATTAATGAAGTATGGCTGCCCTAAATTTTGCTGTGCCATATTTCTTATTTTATTAGTCTGCCGGTCTGCTGCATCCGAGAGGGGTATTAAGGCTGCTTGATATTCCAAGCCAAGTCTCAAAATTTTTCTGATCATATAGTAGGCTTGCCGTGATAGACGGTGCTGACGGTGATACCGGTGTTAAGCCGCAACACCGGGTACGTCACTTGCCCACTGCGTCACCGACCCCCACCGTCGTTTTGATTTTTTATAGAAATAAAAATCATTTAGTTCAGTAAAAGAACAGACACCACAATTAAAAACTGAACGCGGCTGCTCAATGCAGCGTGCCGAACGACAGTAGCATCACAGATCAGATTTAATTTCTCCAGTGAGGAGAGTGAGTCGAGCTGACTGACAAGAAGAGTGAGGTGAGGTGAGACAGACAAGACGATGGCGGATGATTTAGTTTCGAAACGAAATGCAAAAGCGCCTGTTTGGCAATATTTTGGATTTTTAAAAGCCTGTTGACTTTTGCCGTTTATCTAAGGTGATTTTGGAAGTTTTTTTAAACATTAGTTTCTTATTTAATTGGTTCCACAGTGTTTGCTGATTTTTACTTTATTTAAACTTGTGTCATTTTATTTTATTTGACATTCGTTTTGCTAATAAATGTTCTACGTTTCTAATTTATTTAGTTATATATTATACGTTTACTTATTTCCAGTTTTGTATACTAAACTTTATGTAAGTTATTTGTTATTTTATATTAGGCATAGCCTTGCCCTATAGCATGGTGTATTTTTATTTGTTTCCCATTAAAGCACCGTACGAAAGCTCCTGACGACGCTGCTAATGTTCTGAGGTCATTGAGCTGTGCCTGGTTTTTCTAATTGAATACAGGTCCCCACATCTGACTTTTAATGGTAAAGGGCACTGAAAGTTGATTTTCAATTTGAGAAGGAATCTATATAGCAAAATTGTGGTTTCTGATTTCAACAAACACTTTTGCTCGAAAGCTAGGTGCTTTCTTGTTCCCACAGGCAGCTTTTTAATGGCTCACACACAACAAATGATGATGCTATATTGCAGTGAGTCAGCAAACTGTGTTCAAGTGCTTCAAACTTTAAATGACTCATTAACAGAGATGAATGCATCAGATATTAAAGCATCTGAGACAAACCCAGCCTTTAAACCATCTTCTCTCTTTCGTTTGCAACACTTACTTAAATTAGGACCAAATGATGTTTGATTAAAAGCTATTTGCACATATTTAGAGATGCCCTTCTAGTTATAAATCTGTTTGTGATTCAGCATTTGTGATGAGCATGTTATCGCTCACTGATGGTTAAGAAGAATGATCGAGATTTTCTTTACAGATTTCTGTTATATATTCCATGCCCTCGCAGTGACCGCATCAGTGCCTTTAGTCCCTTTACATTGAAATAGCTTTCAGTTGGACTCCTGTGGAGACATGGTCCATTTTCCCCCTGGCATTTAACATCTCTGCAGACTTTGTGCTTTGTATTACTGCTAATATGCGTATGTGATGTGAATTCGGATGGCTTTTTCAAATTGCTTGACAATCCATTCCACGGCTATCGCGGCGCTAATGCGTCGTCACTCCATCAGACCTCGGCGTTGATGAAAAGTGCTGTAAAAAAGCTGAAATATTAGAAAGAGTGCTCATTATGGAGCTGTCGCATTAGATAAACAACATTTTCGCAGTAAGCCGGCGTCTTTTTTGCTGCGGTGCCAAAAACATTCAGCGTGGTAATGGTCGTGTGGGAGGATGTGGGAGAATCTTCTTCCTGTCTACCTCAGATGTGCCGGCAATGGATGAGTGTGGAGAGGAACTGCACACGCACGAGCACGAGACCCTCAGGCTTTTTGAACGCAATGCACACCATCATTCTTTCCACCCTGCCCTATGTAGACTACACCGCTATATGGGTTACTGCATTGAGGACACGCAAATATCCGAAAGTGTGTCTACAAGTGGGTCAGCTATTTCGAAGGCTGCTTCAACTGGAGGAGGTCATCTGTTTCCTTTTTTTACCCTCGTTCTTTCTCTTTCTTTTTTTTCTGGAGCACCCTGGTTCTCTCTCCAGCTGAGCTAATTAGCTGAAAAGGAGAGGAAGAGATGCTTTAGTGCCCTCTGTTGAGTCACAGTACACCAGGGGGGTCAGACTGACCTCTTTCGGAAGCTCCGGACAACGATCCTACACGGTTCTCCCGGCCACAGACTTCTCAAAGTCTTCTCCTCCTCTGACGTCTTGATGCGCAGCAGGAAGGAGCAGGTTCGTGCTGAGGGGCTCCTGTCAGAACAAAGAGACACTTTTTACTTTAATTCCAAACTCATGGGTTTTTCTTCAATGCTTCTCTATTACCCAACACCATTGATGTCAAAGTGTCCATTTTTATTGATTTATTTATTTTATTTTTATGTCCATGCAGCTTTTGTAGTTTATATA